AAAAGGACATTAGGAAAAAAATACCATTTACAATAGCCACCCAAAGGATGAAATATCTAGGAATAAATGTAACCAGAGAAACAAAGGACCTATACAAAGAAAACTACAGAACACTACTACAAGAAACCAAGAGACCTACAAAAATGTAAGAATATACCATGCTCCTACTTAGGAAGACTTAACATTGTGAAAATGTCAATAGTGCCCAAAGCAATTTACACATATAATGTAATCTCAATCCAGATTCCAACGACAATCTTCAAAGAGATGGAAAAAATTATTACAAACTTTACATGGGAAGGAAAGAGACCAAGGATAAGCAAAGCACTGCTTAAGAAGAAGAAGCCTCTCACTCCCTGATTTCAAATTTTACTACACAGCTACAGTGGTCAAAATAGTCTGGTACTGGTATAATGAAAGATAGATTGATCAATGGAACAGAATCAACCCATCCACATACAGCCAGATGATTTTCTACAAAGTACAGAAGTATATTGCATGGGGAGGAGACGGTCTCTTCAACAGATGGTGCTGGCAGAATTGGAAAGCGATATGCAAAACACTGAAACAAGACCTTTACTTCATACCTTTTACAAAAACCAACTCAGCATGGATTCAAGACCTAAATGTGAATCCCAGAATTACAAAGGTCATCAATGAAAAAATTGGGGATACTGTGAGAGCTCTCATACACGGCATACACAGACTACTAAACATTTTAAACTTACACAAAAATACACAAAACAGATCAATGAGACATACTAAAAATTAAAAACTTATGTGCATCAAAAGACTTCATGATAGGAGTAAAAAGGGAGTCCACAGAATGGGAAAAAATATTTTGCAACAAGACATCAGACAAGGGACTAATTTCCAAAATATATAGGAACTTACAACATCTCTACAAGAAAAGGACAAATAGCCCAATTTAAAAATTGGCACAGGACATGAACAGACACTTCACCAAGGAGGAGATCTAGGCAGCCAACAAACATATGAAGAAATGTTCATGATCACTAGCCATAAGAGAGATGCAAATCAAAATGAGATTATCATCTCACACCAGCAATAATAGCAAAGATCAAAAAAGTAAAAGACAGTAAGTGTTGGCAAGGATATGGAGAGACTGGGACCCTCCTACATTGCTGGTGGGATTTCAAAATCATCCAACCACTCTGGAAAACAATATGGTGCTTCCTCAGAAGGTTGGAAATAGAGATACCTTAAGATCCAGCAATTCCTCTACTTGGTATTTATCCACAAGAAATACAAGCCATAACGCGAGTAGACAGATACACACCAATGTTCATAGCAGCACTATTTATAATAGCAAAAAGATGGAGACAGCCTAAGTGCCCATCTATGGAAGAATGGATAAACAAACTTTTGTACATACACACAATTGAATATTATGCTACTCTGAAGAATAACAAGGAAGTAGCAAGCCACCGCATAACATGGATGATGTTTGAGGACATTATCCTGAGTGAAATCAATCAGTCACAAAAGGAGAAATATGGCACAGAACCATTATTGTAAAATATTAAGAAAAAGAACCCACACTAAAAAGGAGGAAAAAGCAAATTTTATCTTTTACTTTTTATTTTTTTGTTGTTGATTACCAGGGTGTATGGGGTGGGGTGAGGGGTAGAGAGGGGAAGGTGGAGCACAGGGTAGGCAATAGGCACAGGATAGTGGAACACAGGGTATGGAATACACACAGGATAGTTTGGGTGCTGGGGAGGAGCATACACTAGAAGGGGAAGGAGAGAGGATAAATAAGGCAGATGGGAGAATAGCTTGGGCAAGTTAACATGGGCTAAATAAGGATAGCATTAAATGACGATCTAAGCACAAATGTGGAACAGCAGGGCTCGGGGATACAAAGATTGAGGCATGGTTTGAATGGGTAAAAGTGATGATGTTAAGATGCTTGGCTGTCTTTTGAATCTTGGTTTCCCTTGTCTACTATTGTAAAGAAGACACTTGAAGGGGGAAGAGAGGAATAGACAGAAAAATCACCAGAGAAAGCTTGTAAGTCCGTCTTCAGCCTGTAACTGTTTGGAGTAACTAAAATGGGGCTAGAACTTGCCCAGTGAAGGGGGCTCCCTGCAGAGTCTTTGTACTGCACAAGACCATAGGTGGAATCCTGATGCCTATCCAGAATCTTCTGAGGTGGGACATTTCCACTTGAAAGGACAAGCAGACCAGTCTGGAGCAGCTAGAAGAACAGAATATACTTCTTGAAAGAAAAACCAGCAAAAAAACCCAAAAAACAATAATAGCAGTCCAACTGACTACTACAAGAACAAGCAAGTTGTTCCCCAGGGAGCCATCAAGGCAAATGGTCAGGTTCCCTCAAGGCAAACTCCATTCCAAGACTGAAACTCAAATGGAATACACTAGCAGGCATATGGTCCTGCTGCTGACCACGTTGGTCACTGATAAGGGAAAGCGGGTGAAAAACAGCAATGAAGTTGTGACCTAAGTCTGACCACATTCAACAGATTCCTGTTAACCTGGATTGACACCTGGTTAACCAGCAGTATGATGAGACCTGGGGACTCCTGGGCCCCAGAGGACTAGAATGGAGTGTGAAGCATCCAGCTGATATAAAGTGAGGGAAGCTACACAAGAACACCCACACTTGCAGATAGTACTCATTTGACCTGACATCAATGGCAGGATGATCAGAACACGACTAGAGAAAGAAAGAAGAGGAGTAACCCACTACAAGTGGATGAATGTGACCTATGCTTGTGGATGCAGTATGACAAAAGAGCAGACAAATCTCTACAGTGAGGATCATTCCCACCTCCATGGTACACAAGGCCGACAGGGAGGGGGAACTTAGACATTGGCTACCCAAAATGGGGGATTACAAAGGCAAGAAGTGACTGGCTTACAAGCTTTCAATAGGGAACCTAGCTCCAGAGGATACAGGGAAAGGTAGAACACCTCCACTGAATTGTTTCCAACCTGTATGGATGGGGTTGATAAAAGGTGGGGGGAAAGGACTACTGTGGTTCAATAGGGAAGGATTGCTATGAGGTCTGACAGTGAGTGTTAGAAAGGTAAATGTAAATGTCTGGTAACAAAAGGAGGGGAGCAGCTGATTTTGCAGTCCAGGAGCATCAGCCCAGGAGTGGAGATCTCTGGAACTATCAAGGGAAAAAAGCTTAGTGCGAGACCCTATCTGGAGAGGCAGTGACACTAGGGATGGAGGCAGTAACAATGACGTGGACAGAAGGAGTGGCTGGGGACTCTGGACTCAGAGAGGGAAAGGGGTTGTGTGCTGACAGCCAGGGGGCTTGAGTGTGGCATACTCTTTGGTTGTTTGTTAATGCATGCAGGGGACTGTGATCATTGCAATGAAACAAAATACGATAGGATGAATGTAAAGACAATGTTTACCCATGTAAACTAACATATAACTCACACACACACACAAGAATGCTTTTCAGACAGCAAGTGTAATAACTACATCTTATATTATTATATTAACACATTAACACTGAGCTTTGTGCCAGTATTGAGCTTACCATCATTTACAAGACTCCTATGATTAAAACCTATAATTTTGCTATGTTCATATGTCTTGGGTTTATCATAAAATTTTCCTAGCGTTTATAGTACAGTTATAATGGCTCCTTTCTAATTTTATTAAACTGCCTTAATTTTTTATAATCTCATATACTTAACTGTAGAAATCTTGCCAATTATTTTAATACCCTGGATTAAAATAGTCTTTATATTTAAGTACATTAAATTCTTTATTCCACTGAGTCTACATTTTTTTTTTACCTGAAATACCTTCAAGCAGAGTACAAATAAAATGAAAAACAAAAAGTCTAAACAGTACAAAAGGTATACTATAAATAGTGTTTCTCCCACAGTTATTTTCCAGCCCCATTTAATCCTTCTTCTTCATAGAGGTAATACTATGGGACGTTTTACACAAATCCTTACAAAAATATTTTCTGCAAATGCAAGCAAACTGAAGACATCTACTTAAATACTCACACATCAACTATTAACTAATTTCATTTGTTATGTCTACCTGTTTACCATACAATAATGCATAAAAATTTTCAGGATTTGTCCTGTGAAGTATGATGTTGTGTGAGTTGTACTTGTTATTAACATTACTAAATCACAAGCAATAGCATTCGATGATTTTTCACTTTTGTGTCTTCTAAAATAACTTTTTTGTTTCACTTCCAAATAGATACTTCTCCTTTGTCTCTTGCTGTTGCTATAACTAGCACTGGTTTTGCTGCATTTGGGAGCCAGGATATACTTAGAAAGAAAAGTAAACAGAGCAATAACAGGAAACATGAGATAGGATATTGCTGTCTATGATACCCTGTTATAAAGTTTTTATTTGTAAGTAGGGAAAGTTCACATTAAAATGATAGGAAGTACAATACAATATAAACATAAACCAGTATCACAGGTGTTTACTATGACTATCAAGACTTATTTATTACTGTTGTTGTTGTTATGTGCCATGGAGTCGGTTCCGACTCATAGCGACCCTGTACAGGGTTTCTGAGACTGTAAATCTTTACGGGAGCAGAAAGCCTCATCTTTCTCCCGCGGAACAGCTGGTAGTTTCAAACTGCTGACCTTGTGGCTCACAGCCTGATTCGTAACCACTACGCTACCAGAGCTCCTTTATTTATTATAGGTTACATATATATTGTACCAATATATGCCTGGCAGCACAACTACTTTTTTAAAAGAGACACGAGATATAACACCCATTGCATGCAAGAAGCTGTTGTGTTTGCTATATCTAGTTACAGATGCTACGTCCCATTCTCCAGTTGGAATTTCTGAACCCTTGTTGGCCTTGCTTTTTTCTATAAATATGGAATGACCAAAGATAGCAGTCTACCCATTAGCTAATTTGACCACCCCCTATCAGCTTTTATGACAATTGATATAATTTCCTCTGAAAAGGGGAGGCAAAGGAATTAATAAAAACATAACCTTACCCATAAATCCACCACTGGCAATGCTTACATACTCTTTGTTCTTCTGTAATGGAAAACAAAACTTAAATTACTACAAAATGCAATTTAGTGAAAACTTATGGTAGTTATATTAACATTTACAACTGCAATACATAGTTATATATTAAACTTCTGGGCGTTCTTTTTTCCTTGACATTTGGAATTTGGCACATAAACGAGTATGAGTTTATCTTGCTTATGTAAGGTCTGGTGTTTTGGGTGGGAGGAAGAGGACTTTATCATAGCTATTAACAAGGCTGTGATTAGATGAGAGTCTCAAGTAGCGCAATAGCAAAGTAAGCTAAATGGCATTTTTCAGGATATAGAATTTTTTTTCCAAAGATTTCAAAATAATTTGTGACCTTTTATAGAAACATCCCAGCTAATACATGAAAAAAATATTACCATTTTGCAAATCACGGAAACGTGAACACTAGTTAGACTTTATATAATAATGTATAATAATGATATTATGCTTTAATTCTCCCTATTTTTAGTTTAATATTTCTTATGGTAGAAATTTGGGATATAAAATGTCTAGAATCACATCAGGAACTTGAATAATTAAAAAACAAACAAAAAACCCTCAAAATATTCCAAAATCTTGCCTTATGATAATCCACGTAATATGATTCATACCAGAACATTTTTAGAGTTGTTGTTTTTTAGGTGCTGTTCACTATGCCCCAACTCATAGCAATGTTATGCACAACAGTGAAACACTGCCTGGTCCTGCATCATCCTCACAATTGTTGTTACATGTCAGCTGCCACTGTGTCAACCTATTTCATTGGATGTCGTCCTCTTTTGCTCTGAGGCTCTACTTTACCAACTATAATGTCTTTCTCCAGGAACTGGTCCCTCAACATGGCTGAAGTACAAGAGATGAAGTCTTGCCATCCTGGCTTCTAAGGAGCATTTTGGTTGTACTTCTTCCAACATAGACCTGTTTGTTCTTAACAGGAATGGTACCTTTAATAGTCTTCTCCTACTCAAATGCATCAATTTTCCTACGGTCTTCCTTATTAATTGTCCAACTTTCATATGTATATGTTGTTATTGTTGTTAAGTGACTTTGAGTCGATTCTGACCCATAGTGACCCTGTATAGGGTTTCCAAGGTGCAGCTGGTGAGCTTGCACCACCGACCCTGCAGTTCAAATGGCTTTGCAGTCTGGGGCATTAACCCACAGCACCACACTAGGACTCCTCATATGCATATGAGACTACTGGAAATACTATGGCTTGGGTCAGACACACCTTAGTCCTCAAACTGATATCTTTCCTCTTAGATACATTAAAGAAGCCTTACGTAGCAGAGTCGTCTAATACAATATATTATTTGATTTCTTGACTGATTTTCCAAATAAAATGATGTCTTGACAACGCCATTCTTTTCTACATTTATCATGATGTTATTCACTGGCCCAGTTATAAGGATTTTAGTTTTCCTTACATTGCGGTTCAATCCACAATGAAGGCTGTAGTTTTTGATCTTCATCATTATTTTAAGTTTGATTCGCTTCCAGCAAGCAAGGTTGTAAAATCTGCATATCATAAGTGGTTAATGTGTCTTCCTCCAATCCTGATATCACATTCTTCTTCATATAATACAGCTTCTCAGATTATTTACTCAGCATACAGAATCAGTAAGTATGTGAAAGGTTACAACTCTGGCACATACCTTTTCTGATTTTAAGCCACTGAGTATCCCCTTGTTTTGTTCTGACAACTGTCTCTTAGTCTGTGCACAGGCTCTTTATGAGTACAACTTAAATGTTCTGGAATACCTATTCTTCACAATGTACTTCAAAAATTGTCATGATCCATACAGCCAAAAGCTTTTGCATAGTCAACAAAGCACAAGTAAACATCTTTCTAGTATTCTCTGCTTTCTGTCAAGATCTGTCTGACACTGGCCATGATTATCTCTTCTTTTGAATTCAACTTAAATTTCTGGCAATATCCTGCTGATGTATTGTTGCTGCTGTTTCTGAATAACCTTCAGCAAAATTTTACTGCACATGATATTGATGATATAGCTGTATGATTTCCACATTACGTTGCATTAACTCTCTTTGGAATGGGCCTAAATATAGATCTCTTCAAACAGTTGGTAAGTCACCCATCATCCAAATTTCTTGAAATGCACTCAGTGCAATTTGGACTTCTACTTTCAGTATTATCAGTTCTTGATTACATACTACATCTTTTAACAGTTGAACACTGACCATTTCTTTTTTGGTACAGTGGCTGAATATTCCTTCCATCTTCTTTTGATGTTTTCTGAATCATTAAATATTTTGCCCATGGAATCCTTCAATATTGCAAGTCAAGGCTTTAATTTTTCCAATTTTCAGTTCTTTCAACATGAAAAATGCTGAGTATGTTCTTCCCTTTTGGTTTCCTAACTCCAAGTCCATGCATATTTTATTATAATACTTAAGTTTGCCTTTTCAAGCTGCCCTTTGAAATTTTCTGTTCAATTACACCCTTCTTTTCTTCTTTTTAGGACTCTATGCTGGAGAGCAAGTTGCAGAGTTTCTTCTAACATCCACTCTGATCTTTTGTTTCCTGTCTTCTTAGTGAACATTTACCTTGTTCATGTATTGATGCCATTAGTGTCTAATGCATCAAACCTGTTTTAGAGATGGTCTCTAACTTCAGATAGGATATGTTCAAGGTCATATTTTAGCTCTAATGGACTTTTTATTTTCTTCCGTTTCAGCTTGAACTGGCATATGAGCTATTGATTGTTCCATAGATAAAGTCAATTTAATTTCTATGTGTTCTATCTGGTGAGGTCCATGTGTATAGTCAATCACTTTTTATGCTGCTTACAAAAGGTATTTGCAAGGAATAAGTAGTTGGTCTTACAAAATTCTATCATGCAATTTCCAGCATCATTTCTATCACCAAGACCATATTTTCCAACTACTGACCCTTCCTCTTTGCTTTCAACCTTTGTATTCTAATCACTAGTAATTATCAATACATCCAGATTACATGATTAATCAACTGTAGACTGCAGAAGTTGGTAGAATTTCATCATCACACTGGCTTTAGTGGTTGGTGTGTAAATTTGAATAGCAGTTTTATTAACTGGTCTTCCTTGTAGGTGTATGGCTATTATCCTATCACAGACATCATTGTACTTCAAGATAGATCTTTTTGACAAAGAAAGCAATGGACGCCACTCCTCTTGAATTGGTCAGATTAAAAATGGTCAATATTAGTCAATTTCAGGTCACCAATATGTAGGATGTTGATCTTTACGTATTCCTTTTCATTTTTGACAACTTTAAATTTTCCTAGATTCATAATTCATACGTTCCATGTTACTATTACTGACAGATTATTTACAGCTGCTTCTCCTTATTTTGAGCTGTGACCCATCAGTAAATGAAGGTTCCAAAATCTTTACTCCATTCAAGTCATCATGGTCAACTCTACTTTGAGTGCTTTCCAATCTGAGGGGTTCATCTTCCAGCACTGTATCTGACAATGTTTCGTTGTTATTCATAAGGTTCTAAGTGGCTAGGCATCCAGAAGTATCTCGCCTCTCCTTCCTAGTCTGTCTTAGTCTAGAAGTTCTGCTGAGACCTGTCCACCATTTTTAGAATGCAGCTGTTGTTGTTAAGTGCTGTCAAGTTGGTTCTGACTCATAGTGGCACTGAATAGGGTTTCCAAGGAGCATTTGGTGAGTTAAAACTGATGACTTTGAGGTTCAAACTGACTTTGCAGGTCAGTGCATTATCCCACAGCGCCATTATTTTTAGAATAAGTCAGCTAAATTCATGAGTAAAATAAGGTTGGATCCCTATTTTTGCAATTCCTTATATGTTTCTATGATCTTTCCTTTAATAGGATTTAAAATTACCTTACAGTTCCTTACCCAAAGTACTTTTGATTCTGTTCTTTTAAAAATATTGATTTTTAGATGATTTGTTCTCAAATTAGATTCCCAGTAAAATATAACATAGAAAGAAAAGAATACAAGTTGAGTGGTATGTATAACATCATGTCCTCTGTCTTTATAATTTCATAGTTCAAGATAATACAAAGCGAGACACTTAATATATAAATGACTAATAATTATCTAATTAAACCATTATTTATATAACAATAAAGCTATCAATGAATGGGCTTTGTAGAGAAGGCAAAGAATAATTTCACTAATACAAATCAGGTGTGTTTATTTATTCATGACATTTAACCACTTTCCCAAGTACAAAAATGAAAGATGGTTAGATGACATAAATAAGTAAATGCATAATAAAGATAATGAAGCATATGCAGTTGTTAGGTGTCATCAAGTTGGTTCCGACTCAGAGCGTCCCTGTGTACAGCAGAACACAAAAGTGCTGCCCTGTCTCATACTTATTGCTATGTTTGAGTCCATTGTTGCAGCCACTGTGTCAATCCATCTTGTTGAGGGTCTTCATTTTTGTTGACCCTTCTATGTTACCAAAGGAGCTCTGGTAGTGTAGTGGTTATGAATTGGGCTGCGAACCGCAAGGTCAGCAGTTTGAAACTACCAGCTGTTCCGCGGGAGAAAGATGAGGCTTTCTGCTCCCGTAAAGACTTACAGCCTCGGAAAGCCTGTGCAGCATCACTATGAGTTGGAACCGACTCCATGGCACATAAAAACAACAACTATGTTACCAGGGAGTCCTGGTGTGTGGCACTGCAGGATAATGCACTGGACCACAAAGTCAGTTTGAACCACATGGTTCAAACTCACCAGCTGCTCCTCAGAAACCCTATACAGGGTGGCTCTGAGTCAGAACCAACTAGAAAGTAGTTAACAACAATAACAAGATTACCAGGGTAGCATGGTGGCTCCATACAATGAACACTGGTTCGAGCCTACCAGTTGATCTGTGAGAGAAAGATGAGACTTTCTGCTCCTGCAAAGATTACAAAGAAGCAGAAAGCCTCATTGGAGACCCTTTACAGGGACACTATGAATCAGAACTTGAAAGTACCAGGGACTGCCAAAGGAACAAACAGATCTGTGTTGAAAGAAGTACAGCCACAGTGCTTTTTGGAAGCTAGCATGCCTAGACTTTGTTTCTCATACTTCAGACATATTGTCAGGAGAGACCAGTCACTGGAGAAAGACATCATGTTTGGCAAAGTGGAAGGTCAGAGAAAAAGAGGAAGACCCTAGTGAGCTGAACTGGCACAGTGGTAGCAGCAACGATTGTGAGGTTGGCCCAGGACTGGGCAATGTTTCGCTCTGTTGTGCACAGGGTTGCTATGAGTCAGTACCGACTTGATGGTACCTAACAACAACAAAAATTAATCAGAACCAACGTGATGGTGTTAACAACGAAGTCCTGGTGTGGCACTGTGAGATAATGCACTGGGCTGCAAGGTTGGCGGCTCAATTTCACCAGTTGTTACCTGGAAACCCTATTCAGGGTCACTATGAGTCAGAACCAACTTGATGACACTTTAACAACATCAACATTATCAATAAACCATGATGTTCTTCTCCAGGGACTGGTCCGTCATAGTCACATGTCTAATTGCACACATTCCAAAATAAACCCAAACCCACTGTCATGAAGTGTATTTCAATCATAGCAACTCTACAAGACAGAATAGAACTGCTCCCTTGATTTCTGAGGAGCAGTCACTTTGTTCTCCTGTGAATTACCTGATGAGTTTGGACCACACACCTCATGATTAGCAACCCAATGCCTAACCCACTGTGTCACCAGGTCTCCTTGATGCATATATGTTACTACTGTTGCTACTGTTGTTAAGTGCTGTTGAGCTGTTTCTGACTCATAGCGAACCTATACAGGATTTCCAAGGAGCAACTTGGGGGTTTGAACTGTCAACCTTATAGATAGCAGTCCAGTGCTTATCTTACAGGTCCACAGATAGGGCATGAATATACATAAATTATCACTACAGCAGAATAATCAAGAAATAGATCCTGACGCATACAGAAATACAGTATAGTAAAAAAAGCAGCATTTGAAATTAATGGTACGAATGGTTGATGTCTAAAAAATATTTTTTTTACTCTTACCAAAATAAATTTCAGATGGTTCAAGGCTTAAATCTAAAATATAAAAAAAGGGGGACTGGATAGAGGTAAAAAAAAATAATTGAATGAAAAGATAATGGAATTATTCCACACACAAAAAGAAGGGAGTGATTGATCTTGCAGCCCAGGAGTAGAGGACCCTTGACCATCAAGGAAGAAGAGTGGAGTGTGTGACCCTATCCAGAGAAGCAGTAATGCCAGAGATGGAGGCAGAGACAATGACTTGGAGAGATGAAGCAGCTGGGGACTCTGGACTCAAGGAGGGAGAAGGGCTGTGTGCTGGAGGCTGTGGGGGCTGGCGTGCAGGGTATACCCTTTGGTTTGAATGGTTATATATTCCTGAGTGCTTTGGTGTACATCCAAAAAAAAAAAACAACAGATGGATTAGAAGCAAATGCATGGAGGGGATTGAAATTATTGCAATGAAACAAAATACAATAGGATGAATGTAAAGCTGATGCTCTCCCATGTAAACTAGCACTTAATTCACAATAAAAACTTATTTAAAAAATCTAAAATATAAATAAATAATGTGAGTACCCAAAGAAATTATGTGAGAAAAATTAGGTGAAGAGCACCTTTCTTGGCAAGACTCAAAACTCAGAAGCTATGAAAGAAAATATAGATAAATCTGACAATGTAGATATAACCACAAAATTACCGGTGAGAATTTCTTAGCGGTGATATCAATAACAAAGCAAAACTAAAACAGTATATCTAAGCATACCTGTAGAAAGTGTGCCAGGACCATGTTCATATACATGTCTTCTTCCTCCCTGCCACTGCCCATGAAACAGAGGTGCTCTCCACCAGCTATGGAACCAGACTCAATGGACTGCTTCTGTGCTTCCAGCAAGGATTTTACTGACTGCGCAAATTCAGATGGATTCTGGAGCATCTAGACATTTGTTAAAAGTAAAAATCTTGGCAAGCCTGTGTTTGGTATGTATTTTCTAAAATCTAAAATTATTTTCAGAAAAAAAAGCAATACAACACTAATATTTAAATATATACCATGAAAGGAAATAAAATCTGTGATATAAAAAAGAGAATATGTATACATTTATCTATATTAGAACATTTAAAAATTCACAGGAAGATTAATTTATACAAATAAAATACTTCTCCACTAGAAAAAGGGTCTTTGGGTTGTTGTTTTGGTGTTTTCAAACTAGCTATGGTTTCCTTAAGTATCATAGCAAAGAGAGTTTCACACTGAGTAGAAATGTCCATGACTTTTTAAAAACAATACATCAAAATAAATCATAATTTTTTTAGGTTTCCATTTATATGGCAAACCATGTACTTCATATGGAGTTCTGGTAGCATAGTGCTTACTGTTGAGCTGCTAGCGTCAAGGTCAGCAATTCAAATGTACCAGCCGCTGTGGGAGAAAGATAAGGCTTTCTGCTCCCATAAAGATTTACTGCCTTGGAAACCCTACACAGGGTTGCTATGAGTTGGAACCAACTCAACAGCACACAACCACCACCATTCTAAATACTACAGATACAAGAATGAAAAAATTAATTTATTACCCTCAAAGGAGTCCTGGTGTGGCACCATAGGATAAGTGCAGGACCGCAAGGTTGGTTTAAACCACAAGGTCAGTGGTTCAAACCCACCAGTTGCTCCTCAGAAACCTTATACTGGGTTGCTATGTGCCGGAACTGACTCGACGGCACTAAACAACAGCTCTCAATGAAACAAATGTTGATGGTAGTGTGGTGTGCCATGGACTCATAGCGACCCTTTATAAGACTTGTGAGGCTGTAAATCTTTGTAGGAGCAGAAAATGTCATCTTTCTTCCACAGAGCAGCTGGTGGGCTTAAACCACTGACCTTGTGGTTCAAATTCCAAATGCTTATCCTAAGGAGCCACTGTGCTCCCATGGAACAAAATATAGCCGTTAAAAAGATTGTGTATTTAAATAGACCACTAAGAAACTGTGAAGTGAAAAAGTAAGTGACATAAGTTATACAAAAATATCTATTTAATTAAGGTCTAGAAGATCTAAACAAGTTGATCTAGTAGTTGATTATAGGGCTGTTTCTTCAATTTTTTTTTCCCCATAAAGGATGCACTTTCTATACACCCTTTCAGCTTCAGCAGCACTTTTTTTCAGACAAGCTTGAGAGGAGGAGGATGGGTTACATATTTGGCAAAAGGGTTAACTACACCATATTTCCCTTTCTGCTCTCATTTCTGAGGCTCTCAGTGATCCCATAAGATCTTAAATATTATGTCTCCATTCTACAAAAGCCTGTAAGCAGCTCTGGTAACCTTTAATTATTTACTTTATCCACTACTTCAATTAAAATGGCCATAAGACAGTAACGATAATTATCTTTCTCTGAGCACCAATACACTACATACTACCCTTATTAAATGGGACTCCTGGTTTGGCGCAGTGGGTTAATTAGCCGGACTGCAAAGTCAGTTTTAACTGCAAGGTCGGTGGTTCAAGCTCTAGCAACTCACCGGAAATCCTATATAGGGTTGCTTATGAATTGGAACTAACTTGACAGCACTTAACAACCACCACCACCACCACCACCACCCCCTTATTAAATATAAGCACTCATGGTGAAAAGAATGACTTATAGTAAAGACTTTAAAAATTCTTACCCAATTAATAATAAGCACTAACGGTTATACAGTACTTACTAGGTGCAAGGCACTATGCTAAATGCTACATCAGGTAGCTCACAGTAAGGCTAGAATTTACTGACATAACAATGGTAAACATCAGTGACCCACTGTTAACAGTATTTTCAATGTCCTTTATGATGTCCTAAGGGGTCCTGGGTCAAAAAAGAAACCAGAGAGCAACATGTTTCTTATTAAGAGCAGAGACTCTCTCTAAACAGAAAGAAAAACATTCTCAATTGAGGCACATATATCTATTTATGGTCTTAAAAAAGAATGTTATTTCTCTTAATTTTTTGTTGTTTTGAATCAGCATCTATAATAACCAAGGGACTCCTGGTGTGGTGCTGTAGGATCAGCACTAGACTTTGAACTATAAGGTAGGCAGTTCAAAGCCACCATCTGTTCCTTGGAAACCCTACACAGGGTGGTCACTATGAGTTGGAACCGACTCGACAGCACTTAACAACAATAAATACTAACCAGATCTGAATCTAAGTGGAAAGCAGTTGATAAATGTCCAGCATTATACTGTTCTGCAGGACGGCAATCTACTACGAAGAACCGGACTCCATCCTAAAAAATAATCAATATTTGACATACTGAAATTTGTCATGAGGTTTACAACACACAATAAAATATTAACAATTAACCAAAGGAGGAGGAATATTTATAGACCCAGTCAGCATATATCCCCTAGGGCCTAAACAGTTTCTTTCATGTTAATAGCTAAAACATTTTACATATTTGTTCTTGATTGGAAAGTCTTAAAATATATAGCAAGAAAAACTACTTATACTACAATGTCACAATATTTATATGTGTAGGATATGCTGCTCGTGTTTCTGCAAACATACAAACATACTAATGCATCACAAATTTAATTTATGTAAGAACTGAAATGTCTTTCTTGTAGGGGAAAAAAAGATTTACTACAGTATCAGTTTGAATTGAAGACGTTCATATGGATCTATTTAAACTGGATTACAGAGTTTCATTTATTTTTTAACACTAGTTCTAATAAGAAAAAATGTTAATGCTTGTTTTTTGAAAATTCCCAATAGTCAGTCATAAGTATTTCTCTAATTGAGAAATATCTATCGTAAAAGACCCGTCGTCTCATGTCCATTCCTCTTCACTCCCAAACTTGCCAAACCCACACAACCGTGGTTAATTATTATAATAATTGTAATAAAGAACATACATTTGAAAAATAGCATTTGTTAAACTGGCTTATTAGATTTTCCTGAAGACAGTCATAAAAAAGTATGGTATATTTTCTGTGTCCTCCTTTGTTACATGCTTTATAGCATTAGATAATACAATTCATTTAGCGGTATAATATCCAGAAGTTGATTGGTAAGTGGTAAATTGACCCTTTTGAGTACTTTTTGCAATACCATATTTAAATACTTTGCTGAAATATAAATAAAACAGTTTGACAGGTTACAAAAATTAGTGTCAAAATGCAAAAAGAACTGTTGGCAACTAAACCAACATACAAGTTGGCATGCTGTTAAAAATGACCATCTGAACAGAAAATTTCACACATTAACCATTCAAAAAAGCCATACGGCCACATTATTGTAGTAAATTAATTTTGTGGGAATCAATGAACTAATGGGAGAGTTGTTCACATAAGGGGGGCTGTCCACTAACAAACTGTGGGCTTCTTACCCCTTGCAGCTGATTTGCTTGAAGGATCTCCGACACTGAGATGGCCAGACAAAGAGCCTGACTCAGATCTGCATCATCGTCCTTTATTCCCAACAAAGTACTGCCAAATAGATGGTGATTATCCTGTTTGAAGATTTTTAAAACATTATGAAGAAAAAATAAAACTCAAACTTTTCTTCCTAAAAGTATTATTAAGCCATGAGGGGAGATAAAAATAATTACATAGTATCTTTGAGTCATACCTTAAGGTCAGCAATTTGAAACTACCAGCTGTTCCGTGGGAAAAAGATGAGGCTTTCTGCTCCCGTAAAGATTTACAGCCTCGGAAACCCTGTACAGGGTCGCTATGAGTCGGGACCGACTCCACGGCACATCACCACCACCATCATCTTTGAGTCATGTGATTTTTAAAACATAGTATTACATAATCTCAAGTCTTTCAGACTAAAAGCTACAAAAGGCTACATAAAAAGTTCCTGTCTGCAGTCCCATAAAAGACTAAGGAAATATAACACATTGTACAAAGCTATTTTCTAATCTATCATATACAGTTTACCCACTATCACTGCCATCAAGTTGATTCTGACCCATAATGACCCAACAGGGCAGATAATAACTGCCCCACAGAGTTTCCAAGATTGTAATCTTTACAATCTTTACAGCAGATCACCTCATCTTTGTCCTGCAGAAAGTGGGTTTGAAACACTAGCATTTTGGTTAGCTGCAAGTTTCTTAACCATTGTGCTGGTAAGGCTCCTAATCATACATAGCAAACTATTAAATTTTCAAAATGTTGCTTACCTTTCATATTTTAATGTAATGAATACAGCAGAAATTATGCAATATACTGATATATTATTGTTGTTAACTGCCATCAAGTTGATTCAACCTCTTAGCAGCCCTGTATAGTTCCCAAGGAACAACTGGTGAGTTTGACCACCAACTCTGTGGTTCAAATAAATCTTATAGTTGAGTACTTATTCTATAGTGCCACACCAAATGTCCACAATGATACATAGCATATTTATCCTGTTTGAAACAAGAACTAATCCTAATTAGCAAGTACTAGTGCAATGGTTTAAAATTAGGAAAGGATTTGTGCCAGGATTGTATTCTTTCACTGTACTTATTCAATCTGTATGCTGAGCACATAATCTGAGAAGATGGATTATATGAAGAAAAGTGTGGCATCAGGATTGGAGGACGACTCATTAACAACCTGTGATATGCAGATGATACTAACTTGCTTGCTGAAAGCAAAGAGAACTTAAAATACTTACTGACAAAGATCAAAGATCACAGCCTTCAGCACAGACTGCATCTCAAAGTAAAGAAAGCCAAAAACCTCACCACTGAACCAATAAGCAATTTCCATATAAATGGAGAAAAGATTGAAGTTGTCAAAGACATCATTTTGCTTGGATCAATCATCAACACTTATATAAGCAGCAGTCAAGAAATCAAATGACTTATCGCATAAGGCAAATCTGCACAAGAACTCTTTAAAATGTTGAAAACCAAAGGTGTCAGCTTGAGGAGTAAAATTGCGCTTGACCCAAACCATGGTATTTTCAGTCACCTCATATGTATGTGAAAGTTGGACAGTGAATAAGGAAGACTGTAGAAAAATTGATGCATTTGAGTTATGGTGTTGGAGAAGAATATTAAAGGTACCATGGACTGCCAGAACAAACAAATCTGTGTTGGAAGAAGTATAACCAGAATGCTCCTTACAAGACCAGATTGCCAGACTTCTCCTGTCATATTCTGAACATATTATCAAAAGGGATCAATCACTGGAAAAGGACATCATACTTGGCAAAGTGGAGGGACACAGAAAAAAGAGAGACACCAAATAAGATGGACTGGCAGAGTAACAGCAACAGTAGAGTCAAGTGTAACAGCAATTGTGAGGATGGCACAGGACTGGGTGGTGTTTCATTCTGTGTACATACGGTCGCTATGAATTGGAACTAACAACAAAATAAAGACTGCTTGCCTTCTGAACACATTATAATGAATATAATCTTAACTGCTTCACCTATATGACAATTAATTAACAACTATCACGGCAGGATGCTTTATAAAAGACAAAACAAAGGACAGTACAATTCTCGTGGGCATCTTAAGTTACAGACTAACATGTTTGCTTTATAAACTGTATCTTCTATACCTATTCCACTATTAGCTATTGCTTTTGGAGTTTTACTTTCTAGGAACTCACACTGCTGGAAGTTGTCAAAAATGAAATGGAATGCATAAACATTGGTATCTTAGGCATTAATGAGCTGAAATGGTCTGGTATTGGTCATTTTGAATCTGACAACCACATGGTTTACTATGCCAGGAATGACAAATTGAAGACGAATGGTGTTGCATTCATTGTCAAAAAGAACATATCCAGATCAGTCATGAGGTACAACGCTGTCTGTGACAGGATAATATCCATGTGCCTACAGGGAAGACCAGTTAATACCACTATTATTCAAATTTGTGCACCAACTACTAAAGCCAGTGAGGATGAAATAGAAGAATTCTAACAACTTCTTCAATCTGAGATCAACCAAACATGCAATCAAGATGTACTGATCATTACTGGTGATTGGAATGCAAAGGTTGGCAGCAAAGAGGAAGGATCAGTAGTTGGAAAATATGGCCTTGGTGATAGAAATGATGCTGGAGAACATGTGGTAGAATTCTGCAAAACCAATGATTTGTTTATTTTAAATACCTTCTTTAGTCAGCATAACAGAAGATTATACACATGGACCTCACCAGATGGAATACATAGAAATCAAATTGACTACATCTGCGGAAAGAGAAGATGGAAAAGCTCCATATCATTGATCAAAACAAGGTCAGGGGCAGACTGTGGAACAGACCATCAATTACTCTTATGCAAATTCAAACTGAAGTTGAAGAAAATAAAAACAAGTCCACAAGAACCAAAATATGACCTTGAATATATTCCACCTGAATTTAGAGATCATCTGAAGAACAAAGTTGATACATTAAACACTAAAGACCAAAGACCAGAAGACTTCTGGAATAACATCAAGAACATCGTACGTGAAGAAAGCAAAAAGTCATTGAGAAGACAAGAAAGAAGGAAAAGGTCAAAATGGATGTCAGAGGAGACACTGAAACTTGCTCTCCAGTATAGAGATGCTAAAGCAAATGGAAGACATGTGGAGGTTGTGGAGGTCCAAGAGCTAAACAGAAAATTTCAAAGATTAGCTGGAGAAGATAAAGCCAAATATTACAACAAAATGTGCAAAGATCTGGAATCAGAAAACCAAAAAGGAAGAACACACTCAGCATTTCTCAAGCTAGGGTAACTGAAGAAAAAATTCAAGCCTCGACTTTCATTATTGAAAGATTCTTTGGGCAAATCATTGAATGATGCAGAAAGCATCAAGAGAAGATGGAAGGAATACACAGAGTCACTGCACCAAAAGGAAATGGTTAATGTTCAACTGTTTCAAGAGGCAGCATATGATCAAGAGCCAATGATACTGAAGGAAAAAGTCAAAGATTCATTGAAGGAATTGGCAAAGAACAAGGCACCAGGAATTGATAGAATAAAAACTGCAATCTTTCAAGAAAGTAAGGTGGCACAGGAGGCACTCACTCATCTCTGCCAAGAAATTTGGAAGATAACTATATGGCCGAGTGATTGGAAGAGATCCATATTTGTGCCCATTCCAAAGAGAGGTGACCCAATGGAATGCGGAAATCATTGGACAATCTCTTTGATATCCCATGTGAGTAAAGTTTTGCTAAAGGTAATACAGAAACGGCTATAATCATACATCAACAGAGAACTTCCAGAGGTTCAATCCGGATTCAGAAGAGGCCATGGAATGAGGGATATCATTGCTGATGTCCAATGGATTTTGGCTGAAAGCAGAGAATATCAGAAAGATGTTTTACCTGTGCTTTACTGACTACACAAAGGCTTTAGATTATGTGGATCATGACAAGCTATGTACAACACTGTGAAGTTTTAGTATTCCAGAACACTTAATTGTGCTCATGAGAAATCCGTACCTGGACCAAGAGGCAGTTGTTCAAAGAGAACATGGGATCACTAAATGTTTTAAAATTAAGAGAGGTGTGAGACAACGATGTATTCTTTCACCATACTTATTCAACCTGTATGCTGAGCAAATAATCCGAGAAGTTGGGTTTTATGAAGGAAAACGTGGCATCAGGATTGGAGGAAGACTCATTAACAACCTGCAATATGCAGATAATGATACAATCTTGCTTGCTGACAGTGAAGAGGACTTTAAACATTTACTGACGAAGATCAAAGAGCGCTGCCTTCGGTATGAATTACATCTCAATGTTAAGAAAACAAAAATCCTTACCACTGGACCAATAAACAACATTCTTATCAACGGAGAAGAGATTGAAATTGTCAAGGACTTCATTCTTCTTGGATCAACTATCAACACTCAAAGCAGCAGCAGTCAAGAAATCAAATGACATATTGCATTAGGCCAATCTATTGCATAAGACCTTTTTAAAGTGTTGAAGAGCAAAGATGTCAGCTTGAGGACTAAGGTGAGCCTGACCCAAGCCATGGTATTTTCAATAACCTCATATGCATGTGAAAGCTGGACAGTAAACAAGGAAGACCATAGAAGAATTGATGCCTTTGAGTTATGGTGTTGGAAGAAGTACAGCCAGAGTGCTCCTTGGAGGTCAGGATGGCCAAACTTTGTTTCTCATACTTTGGACATATTGTCAGGAGGGACGAGTCGCCGGAGAAGGATATCATATTTGGTAAGGTGTAGGGTCAGAGAAAAAGAGATAGATCCCCAACGAGATGGGTTGTCAAAGTGGCAGCATCGACGGACTCAAGTGTGGCAAAAGTAGTGAGGTTGGCCCAGGATCAGGTAGTGTTTCATTCTGCTGTGCATAGGGTTGCTATGGGTCGGTACTGACTCAATGGCATCTAACAACAACAACAACAACAACAACAACACACTGCTGGTGCTTCTAATCTGGCATCCTTTCTTAAAAAACACCCATCTACCCTGAGTAAGATGCTAGTTCTCTCTGGGGCTACATGACTCTTTTTTACTAATATGACAATTCTGCAAATAAAGTTGTGCAAGGCTGGCAACCATAAAAAGGAAGTACAACTATACTTCCTCCAATGTTATTCATAGCAAAAATTTTAAAGTCATGGAATCATTAATCTGGGAAGTATTTCATAATTTCCTCATGATTAGAAATAGTGTTCAGATTCAGAAAAAGGGTGGAGATGGTTCCTAGATATTTACATTCTATCTTTTTAAACCCATCTGTTCCTCCACTAGGGAGAGTATTCACACTGAAAAAAAATTTGCACAAAACTGCAACACATAGAATGACAACTAAAGAGTATTTCAAATGAAGTGGATACCAAATAAACAATAAAACAATGCACAAATTGAAAAGCACTGAATACTCGGTCATTTCTTGTCTTATACCTTTCTAAATGAAGCTGGTGTTTTACTGCAATAATACTGAGCAAGAGAGAAAAGGTCTTCTATATCTTCTAGATTCAAACTGGATGGTGTATTTTCCAAGAATTCTGAAATACAATTATAAAAGATGACATTAAAAAATTGTTTAAGAAAATAAAATAAGCATCATTTATGATCAGAGGTGAAATATCTTCATCTTCATAAATACTATATAAATGGAATTTCAACAGTGATGTTTCTAAAGCTGATTGAGGGTGAAGTGAATTTCCTTACTAGAGTGAAAACTTTTAAGGCAATTATGCTGCTAGAGAATAATAATATTAAGTAATCAAAAAAGTCCGTTAGTCTTGATCAAAATACTCTGGTTTATTTATTCAACAAACATATATTAAGTGCTAGAATCCCTAGAAATAAAAAATAGCTATGAAAGAGTTCCTGGCATTACGAACTTTGTCTTATGTAAGAAACATAAAAATAATTGTGATGCACCAAGATAAACATTATTACAGACAGTACAAAGTGCCAGACAATATAGAGAGTTACTATCTCTATATAGGGGCTGAGGGAAAACTCAGAGAAGGACCAAAGTTTTGCTAAGGAGCTGTCATACAAATGGGCTTCAAAAAGTTTGTGGGAAAATCCTATAATCTTTTCATTCCATTTTTCCACGAACTTTTTGAAGTCCCCCATATAATGTGATATTGAGAGGTAAATTAAAGAAGAGAGGGAGGTGGGAAGAAAAGGACATTCTATTTAAACACTGAAACCAAAGAAATAATATGTTAAGAGTGGAAAAACATGAAGAATGAATGAGGATACTGAATCCAGGAAAAGCAGATCTGTACCTGTAGAGTGTTTTTATAAAAATTTAAAGTTGGATGGAACCTCAGAGCTCTTTTGGACTAATCTTCTAAATTTATGGATGAAGAAACAAAGTTTTAGAGGTTAATGATTTGAAATGTTCTCTCTACATTAAATGATACTTACGGACAATTTCTTCTTTGCTGTCTGACTCCTGTGCTAAAATAACTTCTCTGTAAAAGTGAATGAAATGAATTTGCATTAAATATTTAAAAATCACCCTGAGAAAAGAAAGGAGGAAAATCTAACTAACTTGATACTCACTTTGCATTAACGAGGATTATTAACATTAAGAAATAAATAAAAAATGGATCTGCTTGTTGTAGATATCCATCCCATATTGCTTGAGTGACTTCAATGGAACAGTAACATGCAAAAAGGCTTCCAAGCTGCAATCAGGAAATGAAATGACAGCTACAAATCATTTGGAACTTTTAAAGCATTAAAGCAAATGCATAAGTAATAGTACATCAAATTATCTGCATCTCACACTAAACATGTATGTAATTTTAATGTAATGCAAAGGCAGAAGGACATGGGCACAACACAGCCACTTATTAGCTATGTAGCTTGGGACCTGTCACTTAACCTCTGTTAGCTTCCATTTTCACTTCTGTAAAAAAAAAACAAAAAACAAGAGGAGGGGAGGACAGGGATACTACTAGTACTCATTTCTACCATTGTCGTGAAAAGATAACCTAAAATATTTAATGTAGTCGACATTTGCCATAGCATAAGTTAACATAATTACCCACAGAGCCTTATATAAGGTAAGCAGCATAAAGATTATCAACAATAGCACACTGCTCAATTTACAAGGTAACTGTAAGGATTAAACATGATAATTTCAATAAAGAAGGCCTTATAAATTTGAATGACTGTGAAAAGCTTATTTTCACATCATTTGAGAGATGAGACAGCATTAATATTCTTCAGTTAAGCTTCAGGAGCTCTGTGGTTTCTACATTCAAATGAAAGAGCTGTTATTTTATAAGTTTCTTTAGCGTCCACTTGGGTTTAAATTACGTGAATTCAGTGAGATTTTTAGACCATTTCAACTTTCATTAGACACAGAGACAATTCTATATAGAGGTTTAAATTTACAAGCTTAATGGTTAAAAAGAACTAATGAAAACACACACCTAGAGCATCTTTTGTGTTAGGTACTATATTTTTCACTACACTTTTTTTTATCATCTCTTTATTTGAATTCTCACAAGAGACCTGCAATGAGGATATATTCTTTCCGACTTTACCAGTGAGGAAGTAGACATGGATTAGATAGCTTTCCCAAATTCAAAGAACTAGTGAGCAGTGGTGTTGTGACTTAAAAAAGGGCCTGTGACTCCACACACATGTAATCACTATTACATTTGACCTTAAAGTATATTAATGCTACTGTTTTTTGTTTTGAAAATGACTATTACAAAAACAGATTAGAAGATACGTATACCAATGTGTTGCTGTTTAGTGCCACTGAGTTTTTTACAACTCATAGGGACCCAGTATAGGGTTTCAGAGAACAGCTGGTGGCTTTGAACCACAAACCTTGTGGTTAGCAACCCAGTTCTTATATCCTACAGCGCCACATCAGGACTCCTATACTAATGTTGTTAAGTGCCATGGAGTTGGTTCTGACTCATAGCCAACCTATATAGGGTTTCTGAAGAACGGATAGTAGATCTGAACTGCTGACCTTGAGGTTCAAAACTCAAAACGACACGGCAATCAATCACTTATCCTACAGCGCCACACCAGGACTCCATTCTAATGTAGAATAGTAAAATATGGCCATTTTTAAACTCACTTAACTAAACTAACAGATTTTAGCTATCACTGCATTGCTTAAAGATATGAGTTCTCAAGTTTAGGAAGCAATTTCAATTGTTTATCTCATGATTTAAAAAAAAAAAAAAAGTCCCATATGACAGGCAAAATACTGATAGCAAGATTAAACTTTTAGGAACATCAGTTGAAGAGAAAACAGTTGCTTACATATTTAGTTAAAACTTCCCATTACCAGCACTGAGTACTGCCCTCAGATTTCTAGCAATAGAAATAGTATTCCCTATGTTGGAGAAGAATATTGAAAGTGCCATAGACTGCCAAAAGAACCAACAGATCTGTTTTGGAAGAAGTGCAGCCAGAGTGCTCCTTAGAGGCCAAGATGGCCAAACTTCGTCTCTCATACTTCGGACATATTGTCAGGAGGGACCAGTTGCTGGAGAAGGATATCACGTTTGGTAAGGTGGAGGGTCAGAAAAAAAGAGGAAGACCCCCAACGAGATGGATTGGCAAAGTGGCAGCATCAATGGACTCAAGTGTGGCAACAGTAGTGAGGTTGGCCTAGGATTGGGCAGTGTTTCGTTCTGCTGTGCATAAGGTCGCTATGGGTCAGTACTGACTCAATAGCACCTAACAACAACAACAAAGCAGAGTGGCATTGTAAGATAAGGACTGGACTATTAACTGGTTAGCAGTTCAAACCCACCAGTCACTCCCTGGAAACCCTATACAAGGTTGTTATGAGTCGGAACTGACTCAACAGCACTTAACAATGACAACAGGCAAAACAAGAGAGACCTGTTAATAGAATGTATAAAATAAATAGTTTAACATGTAGAAGTAGATTTAATGGCAATATATAAATCTCAGAGAAGCTATAGTTGTACTGGCATTTTATTATTTTAACTCAAAGTGACAAAATTGTAGCCAAGAGGATACAACAGGATGCAAAGATTTGAGATTTAATGTATCCAGAATTAAAACCAGTTAGGATTCTCTAATTATCACTTTTAGAATCCCTGGGTGGTACAAATGGTTAACACACTCAGCTTTTAACCAAAAGTTGGAGGATGAAATCTACCCAAAGTTGCATAGGAAGAAAGGCATGATAATCTAATGCTGAAAAATTACCCAATGAAAACCCTATGGAGCACAGCTCTACTATGACATACATAGAATTGTTATGAGTCAGAATAAACCTGGCTACAACTTTTTTTTTTTTAATCACTATTGATTGCTACCTAACTCCATCATCCTCTGAGACAGGTTCTATTGTTATTTTCATTTTAGAGATAAGGAAATTGAAGCTCAGAGGCTAAGTCATTTGTCTTAAATCAAACAGTTACTATGTGGCAGAAATAGGCTTCTTCCTAAAGACAAGTTAGATGAGATATAGTCAAAAAACATGTTTAATGTTTGAATATATACTCTTCCAGCATCCAGTTATTGTTTTAGAACCACCTTCAAGTTAACCTATAGGAGCAGTTCTCAAAGTGTGGTCTGGAAAGTCCCTAGGAATTTTATTTGGGGGGAACAGGAGCACTAATGATGTCAAAACTATTTTCATAATAATACTCAGATTTTATCTGTCCCAGGGTTACATGATGCATAATATCATCACAGACTAACTAAATAGATATGAGAATCCTATTTGTTTTTTATTTCAGCAAAAGTTAAGAGATTTACAAAAATATAAAACAATGTCACCATTTTTGCTAATTTTGGGAAAAATATATAGTCATTGTTTTCATAAAAGCATGCTATTTATATTAACATATTTGTTATTTTTTAAATGAATATTTTAATTTCTAATACAGTAAATATCAACATAACTAATAAAAACAATGGATCCTCAATAAATATTGAGTGTAAATATTTGAGAACCACTAACCTAGAAAAATAAAATTTCTCACTGAAAATCCAAGTACAAATGACACAGCAGTGAGATAGTCTTTATATTTCACATTAGTCATTTATAGATTATGTAATTTTCCAATTCTTATTCACATCATTAACAATCACACAAAGTTTTAAACTGAACTGAGTAATACACACACTCATCCCTATACAAATAAACATGTATAAAACAGCAAAAGGCTAACCTTTATATCAACATAATCTGAACTAACACGCAATGAATAGTTAAAAAAAAAAGGTATTTTGAAATGTCAATAATTTCACTCCTTTGTTTTAATAGTTTATAATTTAGTAATTTTCTTCTTCTTTGGGGGAAGGGCATATTTAACTATAGTGTTATAGAAATCTATTTTTCATTAAATGTTCCTACTTTCACTTTATTACCCAGTTGAGTGCATAGGAGTCTGGAGTAATTTTCTTTGTATCAAGAAAAGAACAAAGTTCAGGCTCATGGTATTGGATGAGTAATCGGAAGAGATGAAATGGTCTCCCCTTCAGGGAACAATCCCTAGAAAAGAGAAGCAAGATTTTTTGCTTTAATATGTCAGAAATATCACATCAGTAATCAACCCTGGCAATATCCATCTGTCCCTATGCCCTGAACTCGTAAACACCACAGCATTCTCAGCAAAGTCACCTGATAAACCAGGCAGGACGCACTTGCTAACACCTTTAATAGACTTGATTTAGACATTGAAGGAGACAACAAATCTCTAGCACTCTGGAGGGATTCTCTACAGGTCAACTCATGGAACACTTAAGTGAAAGGTTTACATGGATCACTGAAAACAGCAGGGGCAGTCAGGCATGTTGGTAAGTCTGAAATCTCAATGAAAGATCTAAAGAGTTCTAAAAGTCCGAGTTTCTTCCTTGCCAACTGAGAGGCAACTCCTAGGAAGGCTTCAGGTTTGCACTCAATTAGGAATGTACTTGAAACAAAGGTGTAAGTCTAAAGTGGCACAAAACACTTCAGAATAGTGGACCTGAGCCTTAAGGTAAATTCTAGGAGGTACTCAACATTATGCTCATCCAATAATGGCAAACTTTGCAACTATCTTACTGAATAACTAACTGTCTGACCTCACAGTGTTACTGTGAGAGTAAAATGGGAAAGCTGAATATGTATACTGTTTTAAAGTGAAAAGCACCAAATATAAAGTAAAAGCACCACTATACTTTAGATCACGGCGCCTTTAAAAAACAAAAGATTCTCTGTAGTTTTTAGTCACCATCTTATAAGTGTATCTTTGTCTATTCAGCTTTAAGAAGGCTCCTCTTGCCAGGGTCATGGAAGGCACGATCAGCCCCCACATCTATGTATCCAAGCTCCTGAATCCAAAAAGGGTAATCCCTTGGAGTAGGTGCAGTCCTGGTCTGCGCACCAGGCATACCCCTCAGGTAGTATGAGCATGGCTGCTTTCTCTTTCCCACTCTGTCTGTATCTAAGTTCAGAAGCCTTATCTTTCAAATCCCACTTAAACAGCACTCTCTTTTAAAAGCTTTTATTGTGAATTGAGTGATAGTTTGCATGGGAGAACATCAGTTTGAACTCAACCTATCATATTTCGTTTCGTTCAATGATTACAATCCCCTCCAAGCATCATCGATTAACAGTATTTGCTTCTATTCCCTCTGTTTTGTTTTTTTTTTTTTGTTATGTACACAAAAATACACGGGAATATGTAATCATTTAAACAACCACAGGGCACATTCTGCAAGCCTGCCTCCTGACCGCCAGCACACAGTCTTTCTCTTTCCAAAAGTCTAGAGTCCTCAGATGCTCCATCTCTCCATGTCATCATCTCTGCCTCCATCACTACTTCTCTGGTAAGGGTCCGATATTCCTATAAGCAGCGCTCTTAAAAATGTTTTGTGCCTACAGGAGTTGTTCTTGTTGTTGTTATGTGCCATGAAGTCGGTCCGACTCATAGCGACCCTGTACAGGGTTCCCAAGGTTGTAAATCTTTACAGGAGCAGAAAGCCTCATCTTTCTCCTGCAGAACAGCTGGTAGTTTCGAACTACTGACATTGTGATTCACAGCCCAGATTTGTTAGGTACCATTATATTTACATTAATTTATTTTATTGTATCCATATTTGTAGTAACTCAAATCTTAACTGAGTTTGCCTAATGAAAAAAGAATCCCCCAAAAGATATGGTTTTTGGTAGTTAAGATCTATCTATTGGATATAGAGAAATAATAGTCAACTTTTTAATCATTACATTTAAAAAAAAATCAGTATTACAAAGTTATTTTCAGAATCATTTCCAGACAGCTTGGTTGGTTAAAATATGAACACAGTAACAACTGATTCAATCTTCAATTGGGCCAGTAGGATCAATCAGTTCCTTGGTAAACCTGGCACTGTAAACTTACCACAGACAGTTTTTGTACTGAAATGCATTCTACTAATCATAAGGGAAGGAAACACGTAATTACAATAGCTCAAAGTACAAGTCATCATTATAATAAAAGTCAGTATCTATTGAGAACTACCATGTGCCAGACACTTAATAAGCACTTTACAAGGCTATCTTTGTAAGCAACCCTGTAAAGTAGGTACAAGGAGCTCTGGTAGCAGAGTGGTTACGAATTGGGCTGCTAACCTCAGGGTCAGCAGTTCAAAACTACCAGTTGTTCAGCGGGAGAAAGCTTTCTGCTCCCGTAAAGATTTACAGCCTCGGAAACCTTGTACAGTGTCACTATGAGTTGGAATCAACTCCACGGCACATAACCGCCACCAAAAAATAGGTAAAGGAGCCCTGGTGGAACTGCAGAATAAGCAATAAACTGCTAACCAAAAGGCAGGCAATTCAAATCCACCAGGTGTTCGGTGGAAGAAAGATGGAGTAGTTTTTTTTCATTGCAAATACTTTTTTTTAAATGTTTTATTGTGAAGTATGTGATTTTACATGGGAGAACATTGGTTTTACATTCATTCTATCGTATATTGTCTCATTGCCATGGTTACAATCCCCTCCATGCAATCCTTCTCCCATGCCCCCCAGGTCTTCAGCACACAGTCACTCTCCCTCTCTGGATCTAAAGTCTCCAGCTGCTCCATCGCTCCATGTCATCATCTCTGGCTCCATTTCAGGCATCACTGCTTCTCTGGGTAGGGTCCTGCTCTCTGCTCTTCTCCCTTGATGGTCCTAGGGACCCTCCACTCCTAGACTGAAAAGTTAATCACGCCTCTCCTTGCTATAAAACGTCTACCTTTACATTTCCAACCCTCACAATCTGAAGTACTATTTTTAATCTCCTTTCTACAGACGAGAAAACTGAGATTTAGTTGAGGTCAAACAGTTCACCCAAGGGCACATAGCTAGGAAATGGTGGATTTAGAATTGTACAGAAAATCTGGGCATAAAATACTATTCTATCATATACATAATCTGGTATTTCAGTAAGTGATATTTTGGCAGGGCACTGTGGATAATACACTGGACCACAAGGTTGGTATGAACCACAAGGCTGGTGGTTCAAACTTACCAGCTGCTCCTTGGAAACCCTATACAGGGTTGCTGTGAGTTGAAACCTACTCAACAGCACTTAGTAACAACAACAACATATACTCTAGAAGAAGCAAACCATAAAGAAAATGAAATAGGGTATCAGTATTCATGTAACATTTTAATTAAATGAATGTCATGGCTTTAACATGAAAAAATTGACAAGGAATGTTTTAAAACACTGTTCAAATAGGAATAAGGGGGGTGGGGGGGAAAGCCTGTAATGAAGAATCACTACCAGGATTTGGTATGACTTTCGATCTGCCATCTTTTGATCCTATAGATGGATTCCTGGTGTGGCGCTGTAGGATCAGCACTGGACTGTGAACCACAAGGTGAACCGGTCAAACCCACCAGATGTTCCTCAGATGCCCTATACAGGGCTGCTATGAGTTGGAACCAACTCGACAGCACTTAACAATAATAACAACTGGAAATTTACTCTCTATTGTGCTATGTTTGAATCTGTGCAAAAATAAGCCATGTTATAATGTAGTTCTAGTAATATATTGTGGGGCCACATCATCTATTCAGGGGCATCAATGCTGATTGCGACTGGAGTGCTGTCACATGTGGAACTCATGGAAATAGTAGCTGGAGGACCAAGACAAGACAGTGCGCTATAAAGCCACCTCTCCTCTAATCCCAATCACTAACATCAACAATTTCTAGAGAAAGAGATACAATGCACCTTTGATACTGCTAGCGCTGTTATATTACGGCAGCCTAGAGAAAAGCCAAAATAGAGGGAGTTGAGAGACATAGTATAACAGAATGACTTCTAAATATGGATACTGGTCTTGGCTGTGCCATGACCTTAGTTTTTTCTTTTGGCATCTCTGGATCAGGTTTCCCTTACATGAAGCAGTATGGCTTTTTGGTAGCAGAGACGTTCTCATCTGTGGTGTCCAAGTGAATTACCTGAGGAGGTTTTAAAAAAATACTTATGCCTAGGCTCTATCTCTTTATATTTGAAACTTCAGGGACCAGTATGCTTTAAAAGTTTTTTAGGTGAAGAGACATTATCTCCAAAAATGACATACAAATTGCCGGTGAACACTTGAACAAAAGTTCAGCATCATTAGCCATCAAGAAAATAAAAATGAAATCCACAATGAAATACCATTTCACATGTATTAGCACTTTTGGTGTGGTGCTGTAGGATCAGCACTGAACTGCAAACCACAAGGTTGGTGGTTCAAGCTTACCAGCTGCTCCTCAGAAACCCTATACAGAATTGCTATGAGTCTGAACCAACTCAATGGCGCTTAACAACAACAAGAAGCATGGCTATAATAAAAAAGATCAGTGTTGATGAGAACATGGAGAAATGGGACCTTCAGACACTGCTAGTAAATATAAAACAGTACAGTCACTATGAAATGTCTGGCAATTCCTAAAAAGGCAAAACAGAACTACCATTGTTGTTGTTGTTAAGTGCCATCGAGTTGGTTCCGATCCATAGCAACCCTGTAAAGGGTTTCTAAGAAGCAGCTGGTGAGCTTGAATCACTGACCTTGAGGTTCAAACCAACTTTGCAGTACAGCACATTAACCCAAAGCGCCACACCAGGACTCCTAAATATATTTATGTTGTTGTGTGCTGTGGAGACACAAAAATTTGAACACAAATATTCATAACAGCATTATTTACTCTTGTTCTGTTCTGGGCTCTGCTATCTGTTAAGTGAGTTCCAGGAGGTGTTGCCACGCTGTCAATCTGTTTGTTGTCTGTTCTTGTTGGTTTTCAGTCCACAGAACTCCCTTTAGGATGTTTTGAAGTGCTGGGTTGGTTTTGATAAAATCTCTCAGATTCTGTTTATCGTGGAATGTCTTGATCGCACCATCGCATTTGATTGATAGTTTTGCTGGATAGACGATTCTTGGTTAACAGTTTTTTCCTTGTAGGGCTTTGTATATGTCTTCCCATTGCCTTCTTGCCTACGTGGTTTGTTCTGAATAGTCAGAGCTTAATCTAATTTGCTTGCCTTTATAAGTGATATTTCTCTTCTCCCTGGCCACTTTTTGTATTCTTTCCTTGTCTTCAATTTTGGAGAGCCTGATTATTATATGTCTTGGTGACTTTCTTTTGGGGTCTATTCTTCCTGGGGTACGTTTGGCTTCTTGAATGTTTACCTTCTTATCCTTCAAAACATTAGGGAAATTTTCTTCCAGAAGCTCTTCAACTATTTCCTCTCTGGACTTCTTTGATACTTCTTGTTCTGTTCTTAAGTTGTTCCTCTTCATGTTATCCAGCATGAATCATAGACTCTCTTCAGATTTTTTAATCCTTTTTTCTGCTTGCTTTTCTATCTTAGCAGTATTGAGAGATTTGTCTTCCAGCTCGCTAGTTCTGGCTTCCATCTCTTCTATTCTGCTCCTTTCCCATTTCAGTATATTGTCCATTTCTGATATTTTATTAATGATCATCTAGACATCTTTCTGCAGGTTTTGAATTGTTTCCAATGCGGTATCAATTTTATGTGATTGCTCCTATAGTACTTTCCTGACTTCTTCCTTGTTTTCCTCCACCCTTTTCGGACCATTTGAATTTGTTTCCATTATCATTCTTTTGAATTCTTTCTCAGGCATATCCAAAACTTGCTCTTCCTCTCTATACAGACTTTGTCTGTCTCCAGCTCATTTGCATCAGCTACTCTCTTCTGGTTTTGGACATGTTTCGATATTGATTGTTGCTTCTTATTTGTCATGGTAGTTACGTGTTTTTTGTTGTTTTATTTTAAGCTTGAGTGAATGTTTGTTGTTTGTTGTTGAGCTTACTGGGTGTCTCCTGGTGAATATGATCAGGAGATAGGTTTCCCTTTTCGCATGTAATGCTTAGTGTGTGTTGTTGGGTCTTGTCTCAGTGGTGGAATATTATGGGATATTTTATAGCTTGGCTATATGGCCATGATTGCTGCCTCTTCTCAGGTGACGTAGGGAGAAAAAGCTCCCACCTCCAGGAAAGATGTGTGATCAAAAGCAGAAGTAATATAAAAGCATATATAAAAATCAGCCCTTTGGAACAGAAATGAAGCTGTGGTCGACTGTCCCAAGGTACACCACCCGTGTGTGTGCAATTAGAAGCCTCCAGCAGGGGGTGGAGGTGTCCACTCTCTAAGGCCCCTCCTCTAGTCACTACAGTAGAGGTGTGCAGGTAGATATCGGGGTGTTAATGGGAGAAAGACTGTCCACTATTTTTGTCTCTGAAGGTCAGTTAGGTATCTGCATGTGCACAGTGCAATTCTTGGGACGGTTGAGTCTTGTTATGCTGAGGTTTTACAGATTGCTTTGAATTGGTCCTGTGCAGGGAGCTAGGGCAGCACAGCGGCCATGGACTGCAAGGTCAGCAGCTCAAAACCACCAGCAGCACCACGGGAGAAAGGTGAGGCGATTCGCTCCCACTCAGACCCACAGCCCCCAAAACGCCACACAGGGTCATCTGGAATGGGAACCTACTCCACAATGCACTGATGCGAGGGGTCCCTTTGGGGAAACTTTTGGATCTGTGGCTCCGCGGGTGATGTCATAAGTTGCTGCCAAGCTCCCTCTCTCTGTATAGTGGGAAACTTGTCCCGCCTAATGTCGGGCTAGGCAATAAAGGTGGGAAAGGGAGAGAAAGAGGGAGAAATGTGTAGTCTCCCACGTCTCTTTTTTTTTTTTTTGGCAGATGCCTCTACACCGCTTTTAGCGCCACTTTCAGGGCTGGACTGGCTTTAGCCCTGTCCTCTAAACTCTGCCAGGGTGGGGTAGTCACCGAGGGAGTCCCATCTCCAGATTCCTAACTTGCCATATTTTCCTTTATATCGTGATTTTTTCACTTGTGAGTTCAGGAAACTGACGTCCTGGATCTTATGGTAGATCCGGAGCTCTGGAGTTGTTCTATGAGCACTTCCTTCGTGAGGTCCCCCTCCCTTCTCACCGGAGCATACCCTATCTGGTTTCGCTGCTATAGCCCCAACCAGAAGCCTCTTAACAGCGTTATTTATAATAGAAAATAAAAACAACCCAAATATATATCAACTTAAGAATGGATGACTTTTCTCTTTTGTGGCCATCGCTGAAGCGACAGTGGCCGAAATGAAGTTCAATCCCTTTGTGACTTCTGACCGGAGTAAGAACCGTAAAAGGCACTTCAATGCACCTTCCTGCATTCACAGGAAGATTATGTCTTCCCCTCTTTCCAAGGAACTGAGACAAAAATACAATGTTTGGTCCATGCCCATCCGAAAGGATGATGAAGTCCAGGTTGTAAGGGGACACTACAAGGGTCAGCAAATAGACCAAGTAGTCCAGGTGTACAGGAAGAAATATGTCATCTACATTGAGCGGGTACAGCGAGACAAAGCTAACGGCACAACTGTCCATGTGGGCATTCACCCCAGCAAGGTGGTTATCACTAGGCTAAAACTGGACAAAGACTGCAAAAAGATCCTGGAACGTAAAGCCAAATCTCACCAAGTAGGAAAGGAAAAGGGCAAATATAAGGAAGAAACGATTGAGAAGATGCAGGAGTAAAATAATCTTGCGTACAGTTTCCATTAAAAACTGCAAAAATGAAAAAAAAAAGAAAAAGGATGAATAAAATACAGTAAAGGCATAGAACAGATTATTATTCAGCAATAAAAAGGGCTAAAATACATGCTGTAATATGGATGAACCTTAAAAACATGCTACAAAAACATGTTAAGTGAAACATCATATATTGTATGTGTCTAATTAGGAAAGGTGGTGAAAGAATACAACCCTGGCACATATACTTATTCAATCTGTATGCTGAGCAAATAATTTTAGAAGTTAGATTATATGAAGAAAAATGTGGCATCAGGATTGGAGGAAGAAACAACCTGCAATAAGCAGACAGATGATATAACCTTACTTGCTGAAAGTGAAAAGAACTTATATCTACTTAAAATAGCCTTCAGTCTTGGTCGTGCCTCAATATAAAGAAAACAAAAATCCTCACCACTAAAGCAATAAATAACATTCATATAATTGGAGAAAAGATTGAAGTTGTCAAAGACTTTCTTTTGTGCGGATCAACCATCAACTTGCATGGAAACATCAGTCAAGAAATCAAACAACATATTGCATTAGGCAAATCTGCTGCACAAGAACTTTTTAGTGTGTTGAAGAACAAAGATGTCAATTTGAGGACTAAGGTGCACCTGACCCAAGCCATGGTATTTTCAATAACATTATATGCATATGAAAGTTGCATTGAATAAGGAAGACCATAGAAGAATTAATGCATTTAACTATGGTATTAGAGGAATCCTGGTGTAGTACTGTGGGTTAATGCACTGAACTACAAAGTCAGTTTGATCTGCAAGGTTGGCAGTTCAAGCTCACCAGATGCTCCTTGGAAACCATATACAGAGTCGCTATGGGTTGGAACTGACTTGGTGACACTTAACAACAACAACAACAATTAGAGGAGCATATTAAAAGTACCATGGACTGCCAAAAGAACAAACCAACCTGTGTTGGAAGAAGTACAGCTAGAGTGCTCCTTGGAAGTCAGGATGGCCATACTTCATCTCTCATACTTCAGCCACATTATCAGAAGGGACTAGTCCTTGGAGAAGGACATCATGTTTGGCAAAATGGAGGGCCGGAGAAAAAGAGGAAGACCCCCCAACAAGATGGACTGGCACAGTGGCAGCAGCCATGGTCTCAAATGTAGCAACAATTGTGAGGTTGGCACCAGGCAGTGTTTCATTCTGTTGTGCATAGGTTTGCTATGAGTTGGTACCACCTCGATTGCACCTAACAACAATAATTTATATGAAATGTCTAGAATAGACAAATCCATAGAGACAGAAAGTACATTGGCAGTTGTCTCTGCTTGATGGCAATGGATTTGACTTTTTGGTTACAAGGATGGAAGTGTTAGGGGAAAATGGGGAATAGTCACTAATGGGAATGGAGTTTCTTTTGGGGGGTAATTATTCTAAAATTGATTGTGGTAATGGTTGTCCAATTCTGTGAATATACTAAAAACCACTTAAATGTGTACAATAAAAAGGTAAATTCTATGATATGTAAGCTACATCTTAATAAAGTAGATATAAAAGGAATGAATAGAATTAAGTTCTTCAGTTGATTCTAGCAAGCAACCAGAGTGGAAAACCGTATTAGTAAAGTATAAATATTCATTCAAACTCAGGTTCAAATCCTGACTCAGCCACATAGCAGGCATAATCCTAGACAAGTCATTTAATCTCACTTAATTGTGTCAGTTCCCCTAGTGGTAAACATACCTTATTTTAAAACGAATAAAGCTGTTTAAATAAGAAAATAAAACACCTACATCTAGCAACAACAACACACCTAGCATACTATGTTGTCATATGGAAAGTAATTTAAAGTGGTAGTCATTTAACTATCAAAGTCCAGAATAGCCGTTCCTCATCTTGGTTGCACTCTGTTGTTGTTAAGTGCTGTCAAGTCAGTTCCGACTCATAGTGACCCTGTATAAGGTTTCTGAGGAGCAGCTGGCAAGCTCTAAATAAATACTGAAGCTTGGTTCCCATCTCCAAGAAAGTCTGACTTAAATTAGTACAAATAAGCATCAGGATTTTTAAAAAGCTCCCTTAATGATTCTCATCTGTAGCCAAGCCACGGATACATTGATCAAAGTCTAAATCCAAACTTCCTTTTTAGCCTTAAAATTAGGATTATCTGATCCATAATATTGGGAACTACAAGAATTCTAGTCTCATGATTACTCCCCTCCTCACCACCATCATAACCACCTAAGCATCACTTGCCCAGGAATTCAATCCCTGACCTGCAGGGAAAATTAGTTACCTCATTATACATTCCCATAGTACTCTCTATTTCATCTTCCTAACATTCCACACACATATAGAAATGCTTGCAATTCTAGGATTATGCCAGCACTCTGCATAAAATAGCATCCAAAAATTTTAATTTTCATTCACAGACTGGGATGTTATTTTATTTTATGGATAAAGAAAGTAAAATAGGGATACCAACTGAATTAGCTTGAGGAGTTATGCTGTATATACATAATTCTAAAAAGCATAAATTCTTAATCACAGAGTCCTTTAAAAAGTACTTATTACAAAACAATAGAGGCAGATGGACTGTTACTATAAGAACAAACAACTTGCTTGCCCAGGAAACATCAAGGCAAGTGATCAGGTCCCCTCAGTGCGAACCCCCTTCCAAGAATAAGACTCAATGGGAATACAAGCTCTGATTGGTGACCATCCTCATCACCGATAAGGGGAAGTGAGGGAAAAATGCAATAACATGGCGTGCTAAGCCCTACAATGTGGAGAGTGAAGCGTTCAGCTGATAAAAAGAGGGCGCATATGCACAAGAACACCCACACTTGCAGATAATAACCACTTGACCTGGCTTCAATGACTGGATGATCAGAGCTCAACCAGAAGAAAGAGGAAAAAAAAAAGAGTAATCTGATACAATTTGATGAACTTGATCTATACCTATGGATGCAGTAGCTCAAAAGAGGGAACAAATCCTTACAGCAAGAATCATTCCCACCACCCCCTACACACAGAGTAGACAGGGATGGGCAACTTGGACATTGGCTACCCAAAATGGGGGGGTGGGGGAAGAGGGGCAAGAAGTGACTGGCTTACAAGCTTTCAAGAGGGAATCTAGAGCCAGGGGGCCTGGAGGAAGGTAGAATCTCCAGTGAGTAGTACCCAATCTGTCTAGGCGGAGCTGATGAAATGAAATGCAGATGGGTCTCTTGTGATACAATAGTGAATAACTGTTATCAGGACTGATTGTGATGGTTGGAAATGTAAAGGCAGACGTTTCACAGCAAAGAAGGGAGTGATTAACTTTCCAGTCTAGGAGTGGAGGTCCCTAGGACCATCAGTGGACAAGAGCTGAGAGCTGGACCCTACCCAGAGAAGCAATGATGCCTGAGATGGAGGCAGAGATGATGACGTGGAGCGATGGAGCAGCTGGGGACCTTAGATCCAGAGAGGGAGAGCGACTGTGTGCTGAAGACTGGGGGGCGGGGGGTAGAGTAGGGACCAGGCTTGCAGGATATACCCTTTGGTTGGTTGATGATGCATGGAGGGGATTGTAACCATGGCAATGAAACGATATACGATAGAATGAATGTAAAA